CCCCACCAAATGCTGCTTGTTGTGTTGCTCAGAACAAAACTGAACCATTTATCATGTTGTATTTCATCCCCGCCCTCTCTTATTGCCAGGAATTGATCAAAACCCAGTGAGAGCAGCAACCACAGCAAAGAGGTGTGCAGTTTTTTGCTGTGGCCGGAGAATGGTCTTCTACATTTCCCCCAGCCTTACCTTGGGGTGGGCAGGGTTTTAAGTATGACTCATTCTACTAAGTGTTGAGCAATATGAACTGGTGACAGACAGATGGAATTTCAAGAGATGAGTTTATTGGAACATATAATATATCTGCTCTTTTTAGAAAGTTGAATAGTTGCCACTGCAGCCCTGTTCGTGCCACTATAACATTGTTCTGTTTTCGCCCCTGTCTAATTTTGTTCCCCTCATGTTCCATGATATTTTTACAACCAAGGCATCACTTGTTAATTTTTGTTTTTTGATACCGGGGATCGAACTCAGGACCTTGCGCTTTTGAGGCAGGTGGCGGCACCACTGAGATAAATCCCCAGCCTGTTAATTTTTTTTTTTTTTAAGATATAAGATTTTTAAAAAATGTGCCTGTTACTAATTTCACAACTTTTATATAAAACTTTTTGGATGTGCATATTCTCACTTAATGTAGTAGTTAACCACGTTGAGTAGTTTGCAGAGAATGAATTCAAGAATTTAAGATTTAATAAAAGGGTTATTTGTAGCCAGGCTTTACGAATGGCAAAGCAGAGAAGGATTCAGAGCAGGATTGGGCCTTCAGTGGGCAGTGTTCTAATAACTGATCATGGAGAAGAAAGCAACTCATTCCTTCTGGCAGCCCTATGTTTAAATGAAAGGAATCCATACTTTTGTCTGGACTTATGTTAACTTTCACCTAGAGCAAAGACAAATGGAACCCCTAAAGTAAAAATCTAAATATCTCACACTAAAATTTGATCTTACTAGTTGAGATTTTGTGATTATATAGATGTGAAATTTTTACTTTGTTCCATCAGTTATAAGTATTTTGCTAAGCTGTTAATGTAATATGGGAAAAATCTTTTTTTTGTTTAATGTTCGTCTTTACATATTTTGGGTTAAAAAGAATAACGCTTTTGTCAGTATAGTTTTTAAAAAGTCAAATCTCCAACTCTCATACAAATGCTGAATGAAGATGTGTCAAAGATTTATTCAATCCATTAGTGACAGAATCAGCAGGATGGTAAAGCTGGCTTGAAGGAGACCTAAAGGAATGGGTCATATGGTCATTCAAGAAAGAACATGGGAGTGAGATTGTTCAGGAGATAATTAGTGCAACAGCAGGATTATAACACTGGGAAGAAGTCACCTGCATCTCTTCTGGACGCAGTGAACATTAACTTGCAAAATCTGGGCCTTTAATCAGCAGTAAAGAGCTTGTCAAATACCTGTCATTCTCCCAGATAATGAAATAATCCTTCTAAGCTGTTGATGAATGCTCTAAAACAACATAAAAAAAATGCTTTCCTCTTTTTATCTTGTTACTAAATTTTGGATGATTGTTCTGAGCATCATACTGCTAAATATGGTAAGCTTCTATTGATAGGAGGTACCAAGCACGGGCGCTATCATAGACAGAAGATAGAATGGAGAATTGCTAGGAGCTAGATGAGTTAATGCACTGAGCAGTCCCCTTGAAAATGATTAGTTTAGTAAATTTTATATATGTTATCATGACTGCAAAGAAGATTAAGAATGAGCTGACACATAGGTTTATGAAAAATTAGTAATTCATCATCCTCCCGAAAGAACATAATAACACTCTGTGTGAACTTACTTTTCCATGTTGATAAAAATGTAAGAGTTTCCTAAAAATAGGATTATTAGACTTCTTTACTGCCTGACATTTGTTCTTTTCATTTAATGACGCATCACAGTCTGCATGCTGGTTTTATCCATCGATCTAGTGCAGTCTTTTCAACCCCAGATGAGATATATCACAGATGAGATATATCACAGTTTATTCAGTTATTACTTCATGGATGGAAATTCAGGTTGTTCCAGACTTCTGGTGGGTTTTCTTGTCCGGTTTTGTTTCTGTTTTTGTTTTGCCAGTACAAACACGATTACAACAAAATTGTTTCAGTGCTGGAGTGTGGTGCTGATAGGCCAAGATCCCGGGGGACAGTCGTAAAACAGTGGAGAGGGGAATGACTCTGAGAACTGTTTTGTTAGGGAACCAGGCTGGATTTAGTGGCCAGTTGAAAATGTTGGTGTTGCAGTGGGGAAGTGGCTGCTGCTACTAATTTATTGAGAATGGGAACAGAAAAATAACAGAGACTTTGAGGGGAGGGTAGCAGAGAAGCTGAGCGGTAGGAGCCTCCTTGGAAATGCTCAATTTGAGGCAAGTGCCTGTCTATAAAATCACAGACAGCCATCACTGATTTGAGAATCCATCGCACAGTCTTTACTGAAGCTATGAGAGTGGCTGAGAACTGGCTCCATGGGAAAGAGATGGCATCTGTAGGAGTTATCTGCATTTAGGACCCCGAGACTAAACCCCTTAGAGCCTGAAATCATGTCACAGCCACTCCTGGAAATGTAATAATTTGAAGGGCCCTATGTGTCTGCTACATGGGCTTTCCTTCTCACTGCATATTGGAGGCTCCTGCCTCTTAAACACTGGTTTCCCTGTTTTGTAAGCCACCAGAAATAATGGTACAGCTTGGTAAACCAGCTTGGGCCACCACTGCTTTGAATTTAGGGGCAAGGCAAATCAGATCTCAGTGGGCACAGTTGGCATCTCAGTGGTGTTCCAGAGTCATTTTAAGGCTATACTAGGTTCATGAAAACTAGGATTTAATAAGGAGAGGAGGTGTCAATTGTGCGAAGCCATGTGAACCAGAGGTGCTGCTCAGAGGTACCCCGAGGAAACACAGAATTCCTGAAAAGTTTACTTTTTGCTTTAAAACTCTCATTGCTGACCTCTACTAGCATAGAAATTAACCTCTTGGCACCTGATCTTTTCATGAAGAGCCCGTAGATTTTTATACTAAGATGAGGTGCTTAGTGGCAAGAGTACATGGAAACGACTAGTGATCCAAATGCATTCTGTTGCCACTTCTCAGGGTTTTGAAAAATAGCAAAATTTCCAAGAGTGACTGAGTCATCAGAATGGCTGACGTCACAGAGGTGTGAAATCAGTGCCAAGCCTGAGGCAGGACTCAATTTTGAAAACTGTGTACTGCGCGACATTAGGTAATTATGGTTGGAAGTTCCTGAAGAAGAATCCAAGAGAGTAAAGATGATATCTCATACCCTTAAAGTACCTTAATCATTTGGGAAAAAAATAACATACACAACTCGGAAAATGCTGAAGGAAACTAATACGCTCTGTGACTGCCCACCCCTAGGATTGTTTCCTGTTGCTAAAAGAATTGAGGTCAGAATGAGGCTAGTCCCTCCTCGGGCTCCCCACATGACCACTTGGTAAGGAAGAAGCAGGTGTGAGAACCGAGGGGGCAGGAGGAGATGCTGGCAGGTGACAGTAGGCAGCAGGTGGCAAACAAGCTGTTTTTCCAGAGAATAAGATCACAGTAGTATTTATAGGGTGGTCAGTTTCAGACCTGATGGACCCCAGCCATAATCTTAGGTTACTTAGAAGAACTTCCTATCTGTGGAGGGTTCATCTAAACAAAGACCATTGAGTTGGAGTGGAAAGTTCATCGGTGGCTGCTTTGTCACCTTGAATATCTTTAGTAGCTTGCAGTTAGTAGAGTGCGAAGTAACGCAAGGGGAGTATTTCTGTCAGAACCTGGCTGGCCTCGGCACTAGTTGATTAGCTGCATAAATGAATCCTGGGAACCGATCAGAGGAGCCCTGGAAGTGTTACAGATTCTTCAGAGAGCAATTTTGTGATGGAACTCTCTGTCTCTCCACACCAACTGAGAGTTTTTCCTACACTGCTGCAGGAATAAACAAGAATACTACTGGATTCTTGGCCCCAGGCTTTTAATTTTGTTTGTTTATTTATTTGTCCCAGGGACTGAACTCAGGACCTTGTGCTTGCAAGGCAGGCAGCAGAACCACTGAGTTAAATCCCCAGCCCCCCAGGCCTTTAATCTGAGAAGAGTCAGCTAACCTTGGGAATAGACAAGTTAAAATGGGAGGTTCCCAACTTTATCTGTTGTTTCCTAGTCATTTGGCAGTTGAAAATCTTAACTGTTGAGGGTCCCTTTAGGCTCTGTGTGTGGACAAGTTGTCATGCCTTTCTGGGTCTTGTCTGGACACACAGAGCAGGCCCAAGACCTGCCTTTCTGTGCCACCTCCCACTGCCATAACTGAACAGTGTGGAAAGAGACCCAAATCCAGACACAATAAAGCATCCTCCTTTGCGTGTAGAGGTCGTGAATGAATTTTATGTTAGGCATGACCCTTTTTCCTTCCCCTTTTGCCTATCCCCCTTTCCTCTATGTATAATATATGAATAATTAACATATCTTATTTACTGCACAAAAAAGAAATATTGGTGTCTGATTTTTTTCCTAGCTATGGAAAAGTATTTCTAGAGTGTGAAAAAACAGCTTTTGGAAATTTCAGCTCCTGCTTTTCGAATAGTGGGAATTTATTACTCAACTCAGTAACAATCTTGGCCCAAACCAAGCAGCTGTGTGGGCAAGCAATGGGCACCTTTCCTAATGGGCCTTCCAGGGACACCTCTGCTCGCCTCTGAGCCAGCCTGAACTCAGCATATCTTTCCATCATACTGTTCAGTTACCTCTGAATCTTAGACATACCACAGAAGCCATTGAGACCCAGCCAGTGGATTTTACTTGGATGAGGTATTGCATAGCTCCCAAGGGGAGGGAGGAGAGAGAGAAAGCAGCGCCCAATAATAAATAGCTCTTTGTGCCAGTCCCCACCCCTAGTCCCAAACCATTGAGATCATAGTGAGCAGCCAGCATTCAGTAGAAGGCAGCTGCTGCCCAGTAGCTTGGTAGATAAATGACCAGATGTGAACTTGTCTTTCCGCACAGTGTGTGGCTGTGACCTGGCCCAAGGGGGCTTCTTCATAAAGAACGGAGAGTACCTCTGCACCCTGGACTACCAACGGATGTACGGGACACGCTGCCATGGCTGTGGGGAGTTCGTGGAGGGCGAGGTGGTGACTGCCCTGGGCAAGACCTACCACCCCAACTGCTTTGCATGTACGATCTGCAAGTAAGTGACCATCTTCCCCAAGCCTGTAGCTTTCTTCAACAGGGAAACACTAGCTTCAGCAGTGAAAGCTTGGTCTTGAGTAGTACTTATACTTGAAAGACCCCTTTTCTATTTTGCCTCTTCCTGCTGAATTTTCAGGCTTAGTCAAAGTGTAGATTAGTTGGGGAACTTTATACTTGATTTCCTGTACAGAGAAGGACTTAGAACCACGTCTGCAGGAAGCTAAAGGCCTGAGAACATTTTGAGTAATGAAGTCATTGGTGGAGGATTGGACAACTGCTTGAAGGACAAAGCTTATTTGGAAGCATAAGTGTTTATGTATGTGACATGTGCATTTAAAATCATCTCTTTTTTCCATATCATAGGGGTTGGCAAATGATAGCCCACAGATCAAAGTAGGTCTGACACTTGTTTTTGTAATAAAGTTTTATTGGCATGCAGCCACACCCATTTGTTTGAATACTGTCTGGGGCTGCTGTGGGAGCTGCAGGGGCACAGTTGAGACGTGGTGATGGGGACCATATCGTTCACAAAGCCTGAGAAGGTATTTACAATTTGGGGAAATTTGCCAAACCCGGCTGTTTAGGAGTCTGTCATCTGCCAAGGTTAAATCTTAGCTGCAAAAATGAGCTTGATTAAGATGATCTAAGAGAAGAAGACTATGTGAAGTATGAGTGAGAAACTGCAGTGTTGTGTTTGGGTGCTACACATGATAAAGCTGAGACGGGTTTGATGTCTCCAACTAGGAGGCTGGCCAACAAGGGTCGGCTACGTAACTGATCAGTTCCAGTCACAGTCTTGTTCCCTGTGCCTTGTTCCACCTTCCTATGCCTGGGTGCAAAACTACCCTTCAGAGGAGATTTTTTTTTTTTTTTTTTTTTGCAGTGTTTCATGTTTTTAAGCCAGAAAGATGCAAATGCAGGAAGGGTAGATTTAATTTCATATGATTAGTAACAAATACACTGATAGATAAATCATAAGTCAAATGAAATATTCTTAATAAAAGCATTTATTAGTTATGTTTGCAGTACACAATGCCTACATTCCTTGTGTGGAGTTGGTGCGTGTACATAACACATTTAATTCTTTTTTCATGCCCCTTTCCCTCCCTTCCTCCCCTGTCCTTTTATCTCTTGATCCCCTACTCCTTTGCGAAAGATCTATCATCTTACTTCCTAATATTTTTCTCTTACAAGAGAAACTACACAATATTTAAGCTTTTATGTCTAATTTATTTCACTTAACCAATGGGCTCGAAGTGTACCCATTTTCCTACAGATGACTCAAGTTTACGTTTCTATATGGCAGAGCATTACGCTGTTGTTTTTTTAAATAAGGATTAGCTCTTTTCTGAATCACTGGTTTTAAAATCATAATTTAAAAATTCGAGATTCACAAGCAGAATATTTTTCTTGTTTAGTCAAAGTAAGGTTCCACCCTAACTTCTCCCTTTTCAGGGTGTGGAATGTAGCTGCCTCGAAGACCCAAATCTGTCCCTACTTCCTGGTCTGAGTAGAAACTTTTGTGAATGAGCATTTCCAAGCCAGAGGCCTCTGCTATTAAAAAATAAGAAGAAGAAGAAAGAGGGGGAAGAGAGGGTGCTCTGCATTAAATAAGAGTGATCCCCAAGCCCGGCTGCTCACTGGAACCCCCTTTAAAAGCCCATCCAAAGCCCATCCCAACCTACTAGTTTCTGGAGGCTTTCCAACTTTGATGTTACCCAGCCCAGTTAGAAGACCCTGGTCCACATAGACTCTGAGAGCCATGTTTCCCAAGCCCAGGAGGCTGTTGTTTTAAAGTCAGTATAAGGATGGGCAAATGTAGTAACTAGAGGCTGTCCCTGGATGTTTCAGCCAGCAAAGGTGCTTGGGATTGCTACAGTTGAGTACTGCTTGTTTGAAATGCTTGAGAGCAAAAGTGTCTTAGATTTCATGTTTTTCCAGGCTTGGGGGATATTTGCATATATATATATATATATAGTGAGGTATCTTGGGGAGAGGACCCGAGTCTAAATATGAAATTAATCTTCTCATCTATAGTATATCTTATGGACTAAAGGCAATGTTATATAGTATTTTTAGTGCACCTGCATTTTGCCTGTGACCCATGATCACCTGAGGTCAGTTGTGGAATTTTCCACAGTCGCAGTACATTAGCATTTAAAGCATTTTAGAAATTGGAGCATTTTGGACCTTTGAATAAAGATTGCTCAGCCTGTACTACACAGGGGCAGCTGCTGCTTCCAAGTGATGATAACTGTTATCTGAATTGGAGCCTTTTTTCTCGTTTACTAATTGCATTCACATAGAATTTAACCCTCTTAGCAATTCGGTGAAGTTAGTCTGGAATTAATAATTCATGACAGTTTCAGAGTATAAGACGCAGGCAGGTTAATCTCAGAAGGCTGAGATTTGAACTCAGGTTTTATGACTCTAAATTCAGTTTTTGTATCACAAAAATCAGGCATACAGAAAGCAAACCAGTGTGGGCAGAGGACATAGGGCAGAAGGGAAAGTCTGAGAAGGGCCATTGTAAAGCAACAAAACTCCAGGTTCAGAAGGCTGGGCCCCATGTGAAGTGCTGGACTCTGGCTTATGCCATGGGGGGCTTCGTATAGGATTCGGGTCTGAAAAGATAAGCATGGGTCAAAAGCAGGTCCTGAATTCCGGTGAGGTAAGCAAGGCGGCTGGGGTGCAGCATGTAAAGGGGTGCTCACCATCATGTCGTGCAAATGCCAGCCTGCTCTGCAGAGTGAGTGCTTCTGCATGGGTGGTACTCCACTGGCCTTACCCAGGCCTTGCGCTGGTCAGGGGCAAAAGAACCTGTGAAGGGCCCTTAAGGCCAGCACCATCCTTGCAGAGTGGCTCAGGGGCTTTATGAGGTGTAACTCACGATTGTGAAAATGACCGGACCACCGCCATCAACCAGAAAGTGGTGACATTGATTATTAAAGACAGGGCAGCTTTGGAGTTGGAAAATGCCATCTGCACCTGCTTGGGGCTTAGTCTCCACACTGCTCCATCCAGGAAGGTCACTTACCTTGCCTGGGCCTTACTGGGATACCACTTCTCCTTAGAACTTCTAATATTGGAGGTTCAGTGGTACCTTTGTTCATGAACTTAATTCTTTCCTTGATTCTGGTCACAAACCAAATTGGACAAGAACCGAATCAAATAATTCAGTGACATCTGGCTTGTGCGTTTCACATTTCCTAAATGACTGCATCAGACATTTGAAAACTCACGTTGATGAAGATTACTGGCAAACTGGCCAGTTGTGGGTCAGCGGGCATGGAAGCTGCCATATCTGCTAATGAATGACTTTGGTTTCTGCCTGGTCACCTGAGAGGAGAAACTGTTAACACACACGCAGGCTGTAATATTTTTGCAAAATGTGCTGCTACTGATAAATGTCCAGGGGGACAAGAAATTACCTTTCTAAAAAGAAGCTGCTCCTAATTCTTAAACAGATATTTTTATAGCCTGTGCCATTCCTCTCAGCCTGTAAGGGACGTGGTCTCCAACACTGTGCAGCATTTAGATGTCCAGAAAGGACAAAGTTGAGCTCAGCACTGTTATCACAGAATTCTGGGTGTGGTCCCACGGAGCTGGAAGGGCTCCTGCGTGGCCAGTAACCAGTGGGGTGTGTCCCTGAGCTTCAGTTGGAATTCATGGCATTTAAATGTTTCTAATGAAGATTTTCCAGTTGGAAATGAACTGTTCTGCATGCCCTGGTAGGTGACTTGTTGGGACATTCCCTCCACTAGCAAGTGGATGGAAATCATTGCGTTTTACTGTCAGGTTGTTATAGAACCAGTTCATTCTTTTTCTTGTAATGAGTCATGTTTGTCTGTGTGGACCATGGCCAGCCAGCTCTCTTGGGCATGGCGCATTTCAGATCTCTCACCTGGTGCTCCTCCAAGAAATAAATTTGCACCAGAGGGCAGCAAGCAGAAGAAGTAGGGAAAAGAAGTGAAACTGCTGGAGTAACCTGGAGGGGGTGTCTTTCTGTCTCCAGGCGCCCGTTTCCACCCGGAGACCGAGTCACGTTCAATGGGAGAGACTGCCTCTGTCAGCTCTGTGCCCAGCCGATGTCTTCCAGCCCTAAAGAAGCCACCTGCTCCAGCAGTAAGTGCCCCATGACACACTGACACGAATGCTGTTGTAGTTCACAGGCAGATCCCTACCTTTTTGAGATAACCCTGTTAGCTAAAACCAAGATGCATCCTATGTAGGGCGCGTTCCTTTGCAAAATGCGATGGCTGGTAAAACCCATGCAAGGAGAAGCCAAGAGACAGAGTTAGACATCATACTGTCCATTTTGACAGTGACAGAAAAATAATTTAATGTAAGACTTTACATTAGAAATGACCCTCTCTAGTCATGGAGGTTGAGATGCAGGAATGCTTGGTTAGGATGAGATTGGTGGCTTTCTGTGTTTAAAAAAGCTGTCTCTGCTTCCCTGAGGTGCAAGGTTGGTTTTTGATTTCTGCTGAGGCTTAAATAAATGCTTTGTCTAAATAATTCACCTGGAGGGAGTCTGGCATTTATTCACTTAATTTTCTGAGTACCTACAGTGTGTATTATTTTTAGAAGTGAAGATAGAGCCATTGGCAAATAAACCTCTCCCATTCTCAGGAAGCTTGCTTTCTAGGGAGAGCACATACACAGATGAACTCACAGAAATATCGAGTATGTGAGGAAAACTAAAGCAGGAGAGGGGCTGCGTTTATACGAGGCAATCAGAGATCTCTGTCAAATGGTGACACCTAAGGAGAGATTTGTAAAAGTGGGGCAAGTTAAACATACATCAAGGATCTGCAGTCATTTATGACATGGTCTTATATGAACTGGGGGAATCCAACACGAACCAAACCTCCTTCCCTCTCACCCAAAATAGTGGCCAATTGCAATCTCTTCTTATAAAGATATTGGAAATAGCATTTTGTAGAACAGTTGATAATTTTTATAAGTCAATGTATTCTGAACTCTGGGCATAAGACTGGAAAGTTTGGCTTCATCTCCTTCCTTTAAGAGTTACACCCAAGGTTGACCTTGGTTTCTGTGGAGTTTGTCAGTCCTCGGGAGCTCAGGAACAAAACCCCTTTAGCTTCTGTGAAGTTTAATATGTAGGGATGAGATAACCCATTTCTATAGCAGAAGTATTCTGTGCAGCTTATAACAATGATTCCAAATCTTCCCATTAAAGTAGAATCTTAATACTTGCTAAAAATAAAATGCTATGACCAAAGCATTTTCATAGATTGGATTTTGACCATTGGGAGGAAAGAAGGAAAGATAACATGTTAGTGCCTCTTTCAGCACACATGACAGGACCCTAAGGATTTATATGACTTACTGTTAAGTGACAGCAGCCTGAGTAGGACAACCAATGTGATCCTAGGCCCCTAGTCCTTCATGGTGCTTATTACCCAGCAAGCACAAGAGAAACAGCCCCCGGTTGCTGGAAGGTGGCTTAGGATGGGAATAGTCATCCCACTGTTTTGGGGGAGCTTGCCGTGAAAGTACATTAGCAAAATATTTGGAAGATTCTTTAGTCAAGTTAAGAAAAGTAGGATTGTGTGTAGGGAGTTGGGTTCAGATTGTGGTTTCCTTCACAGCTCCTGTCTATTTCAGGCACCTGCGCAGGAGTGAGCTGCTGTCTACCGTCAGCCTTCCCATGTCAAAGGGTGTCTGACTAGGGCCTGACTGCATGTGGGTTCAGCAGATTGACATGACGAGCACCCACACACGCGTACAGCCAAACCCGTCTTTCTCTCTCCCTCCTCTGTGTAGACCTCTATATATAGCATCGTCATTATTTTATCTGCCACTGGAACACCCCCAGGTATCAGGAAAAATGCTGTAGTGGATCTGAATTGAAATCATCCCAGATAAAGAGTCATGTGCCTATCTTCAAAAGGAGGAAGACATTTTCAATTATTTTACCTTTCTGTTTGGTGCCACAGCTTTTCATTGTCGCAAGATCATTTTCATTTATCTCCATGTTCTCTCTCAAAACATCATTTGCAGATTGAGTGGGATCTGTCTGCCAAGGTGCCTAACAGTAGGTGGAATGGGAAAGCGCTTACTTGGGCCAGACCCTGGCTCTTTGTCTTTCTATCAGCCTCTACTTCTCTGTCTTCCATTTTCTCTCTTATTAAGTAGGATAATAGCAATACGCATCTACCTCGTAGGATTACATGAGTAAATGAATCAAAATGCTGGTTCCTTAGCACTTCTAACAGTTCTGCCACTTACTATGTAGGCATCGATTTCTGAATTTTTGTGGAGGACAGCCCCCATTTTGTGTGGAACTTCCTTTACCATCCGCTGTTGACGAAAGCTGCATTTATCCACTCATCTGATCTTTTCTACCAATATAAAAACCAGTAAAGGCCGGAACACAGCCCCACATATAGCCCATGGATTGTTGGAGTTTGACCCATAGCAATGTATTTTATCGCTGGATTCCCCCCACACACACAATCTGCCCCACCTGCTTTAGAAACATGCCTGCTGTAGGACAAAATGGCAGAGGGGGCTTTGCAGGGCCTGCTGAAGAATGTGGATTCTCACAGGTTATTGGCTGGTTCTCATCCCTACTCTTCCACGCACAGGGTGGGTGGCCTTGAGAGCCCAGTCTCTCTACATCTCCATTTCTTTGCCTATAAAATAGGAAACAGTGATGATTTCTCTGTCGTTGAGTTGTTGTGGAGGTCAGCATAAGTAAAATGCTTCAAAGATCTTTGCAGTGAGCACATACAAGGCTGAGCCATAACTCTTTAAAACAGTGGTAGGGGTGGCCGGGCGTGGTGGTGCACGCCTGTAATCCCAACACTCGGGAGGCTGAGGCAGGAGGATCACTGTGAGTTCAAGACCAGCATGGACTACATAGTTCCAGGTCAGTCTCAACTACATAGTGAGACCCTGTCTCAAAAAAACAAACCAAACAAACAAACAACAACAAAAATATATATATATTTATGGGGCTAGAACCCAGATATATTCAGAATCAGAAAAGAAGGAAAGACATGGACAGTGTTATGGATAAGAACGTTCACAATGCCTGAGTCTGAACACCTTCCTACCTCTTCCCAGCCACGTAGCTTTGGGCAGGCAATCTGATGTCTCAGAACCTCTGTGCCTTCATCTGCTGCTTGGAAAATAGCTGCTTCACGGGGCCATTACTAAGGAGCAAATGAGGTGCTGCCCAGAAGAGCAGCCTGAAGAGAAGGGGGCCTTGCAGACACAGTTGCAGGAGGCCCCAGTTAGAAGAGGCTTTGATGTTCCAAGGAGTGAACTTGGCTTTGTCATTTTATATCCTGAGGCGTGAACTTGAAAGGCCAGAGTGACAGGGCCAAGTCTAGGGCAGCCTGAGGAGTTTGGAGCTGCTGAGAATGGTTTTTAATCTAGATTTTAAAAAACACTCTAGAAAGGTCAGTGAAGTGATGGTTGGTGATAATGCAAAATCTGTGGTCGGAGATCAGGTACCAGGAGACACTGGTATTTGTGGTTGCAAGTCATGTTTGGGAGAAATGATGATTAGGGTGAATGAAATGACATGGTTAACATGTTACATTATTATGATACATTTATCACAGCTGAGAAATACGATGAAGAAACCACAGGTGAGCCAGGTGAGTAGGGCATCCCTACAGTTCCAAAGCTCTGAGAGGCTGACAGGAGTGTCACAAGTTTGACCCTAGCCTTGGCAGTATAGCAAGACCATCTCAAAAAAAGAAAGGCCTGGGAATGTAGCTCAGTGTGAAAGCCCCAGGTTCAATGCCTAATACAAGGAAGAAAAGGAAGGAAGGAAGGAGGGAGCAAGTCAACCAAGAGTGTATAAATTGATATGTAGTACTGCATCTTACTTTCGTGTGTGTGCCAACCTCCACTCCCAAGATAACTCACTGAATACAAAGATCCCGTTGTCTTTCTTACGCTAGGATCAGCACATAAAATCCTAGATAAATATGCAGGAAATTAAACCAAAACTTTCTCTCTCATGAAATCAATTCTCATCCTCTCTTTTTTTAATATTTTATTTTTATCGGTACATATTTGCAGTACATGATGATTACATTTCTCATGGGAAGTCGGTACAAAGACATCATTATTTTTTGTGTGTGTCCCTTTTCTCTCCTCTCCCTTCTCCCCTCTTCCTCTTAGCCCTTTCCTTTTGCAAAAGATCTATCTCCCTGTTTCCCTTAATCTGGCTTTTACTTTGCCCTTTAATTATTTATGCTTTGGGTTTATCACATATGAGAAATCATGTGGTATTTAAGCTTTTGCATCTGATTTATTTCATCTAACATTATGGTCTCCAGCCTCCTCTTTTTAAATGATGGGTTTTCAATGTTTATTGTAAAACAATACAAACAGTGCAAAAAAAGTGCAAAGATGATAAAAAGCCCCAGGAGTTCCGTCACCAAGAGATCATCTCCAGGAACATTTTGGTGAACATTCATCTGGATATTTCTCTCATTGGTGTAGTCACGCGCAATTACAGACTTGTGAAATTTTCCATAGTGTTTTCTCAAAAAAGCACTTATTCTTCCAGGTCTTAAAAAGCTGAATGCCTTGAAGTCCCTTGGGCACCTTGGCAGCAGAAGGCCTGTGCTCTGGCCAGGCTGTGACTTGCATTTCCGTTACTGCAGTGATCACCACACAACCCTGTTACTTCACAGTACATTTATCTCTCCCTTTAGACTATCTGCTACTTAATGGCAAGCCTTGAAATTGGTTCTTATAAATAGCACTGTACACATCCTAAACACATCGTGAGTACATGGATACCATCCCAGGAGAGCTTCCATGAGAATAAATCGAGGCTTCCAAGGGCACAGGGGTGGGAGCTGATACTTGAGTGAAGATGCTTTTGTGGTCGAGTTACAGGTACAACTCGGGTGCATGAGGAGTAAAGTATGTTGCCATGTAAACTCACTTTGATTTTCTCATCTCCTAAGCGTTTTTCTTTAATAAAAAGTTAAAGAGTTAGTGATTGCTTCAGATAAATTTCGTGATCACAGAATCACAAGTTTTGCGTAAAACTTGTTCAGTGGAGTATGTCTTCCCATCCTTAAGTGTCACAGTACAGGCCAGCCACACCTCTCCAAGCCTGCGGG